TAGTAATAGATACTTAAATGTAAATGTGTTCATAAACCCTCTCTTTTTAGTACATAATAGAATTTTTTCAGTCCTCCACATTATATACACCTGCTCCCAAACTAGCTATAGAATCCTTTTTTTCTTCCTTCTTTCCCTCCTTCCTTCCTTTCTTCTTCTCAACGATTTGAGCTTATCTATAACTTTCTAGGAACTGATACTCTACATAGTTTTGTTAAAATTATTCACATGTTCAGTAAATTCATCTGCAAGTTTACCCAGGAGAATTGGTTTCATTCCAAGCAGGGAAGAGCTTTCCAAAATAAGAGTTAAACAGGCCCAGATTCTGTCAGTTAGTCACTATTTAGGGTGTGACCAGGGTCCCCCATATCTCACTCCACTATGTCTCTCCTCCCTTAAGTCCAAAGTTAACCCAAGACATTTGAGTCTCATTACCTTAGTTTCTAGAAGCTTATTTTTAAAATTTCAGCCAAGGAACTTAACTCATGCAAAGAATCAAGTATGTATTGGGGGATTTTGTAATGTTAATGTTGTTTAACAGCTGTTGATTGTTTCACCAAGCCAGTTGACTTGATGAGTCAGATGGCTTGTAAATGTGCTAGTTCTGATTCTATGGGCAGGACAGTCCAGAGAGGGACTCACCAGAGGAGTTTAGGGGGCAGTTAGAAGGCTCTAGCAAGAACTTAGATAAGAAGGTCATCTTTGAAAAGTGGGGAGAATCTGAACAGGTATCTACCACCATGGGTAGGTGACCCAAACTGATAGAATATCAGGTGCAAAGGCCAGCCAAAGAACCATTTTGTGGGGTGATGAAAGGCAGTTTGAAAGGCCAGGAAATCTAGATTATAAAGGATTTTGGAATCCAGGAAAATGCAATGGTATTTGTAAGTGAAACAGGGCATTTTTCAACATGAGAGTAAAAGAACAGATAGTATCCTTAAGTTCTATGTCTCTAGTTGCATGCCCTGTCTCTAGTCCAGCTGTATCACATTATCATCAAGCAGTCAGCTCCTTACCATGTAGCAGTGGGGTTGGGTCTCTGGTCAGACAACTGGGTCACGTACACCAACAGACACTCAGTTGGCAAGACTTGCACTTTCTTATTCTCAGTCCTTCACTATGGCCTCTGGAGCCTACAAGACATTCTAGAATATACTTCTGAGTCTACAGAAATGCATAATAGACACAAGGAGGCAACGACAGGAAACATACAAATTGGAATTGTAGGAGAATGCAAGAGTTAAGAAGTTACCTATTTTTTTAATCCAAAAGATGCTGAAAATCCCCCTACTTTTCTCTTTAAACTCTTTCATGGCTATCTTCTAAACATCCTATCCCTTCATTTCTTCTCAGTCTGTTTGTTGTCCTATAGGTCAAGAAAGACTGCTGCGTGTTTTTACAACAGTAATAAAACAAGTGGCTTAGTCACCCAAGCAACTGTGGCTTCTCTCCACTCCCTTTATGGATTAGTGTCTGTAGGAAAAGAGAATGGAGAGTGGCCTCCATCTTCCTAGTGCCCCAGGCTCTCAGATTGGAGCTACGAGCCTGGCTTTCCTGTCCATTTCTACCGACTCACAGCTCCATATTGTCAACTTTCTGTTACTACTTTAAGAGCAAGAAAGATTTTAAAAATCATGTAAAATTTATAACTATTGGTAGTTACCTTAGAGGAGCTAAGAACAAACACATAGCTTGCTTGTTCTGACTTTTTTGGGGGGGGAGGAGGCGGATATTTTCCTAACTATAACAAAATTTCTATGGAGCATTTAAGAGGTGAAGTTTTACTGTGAGGGACCAGAAAACTCTCCTTGTGTATATGATTTTATGTGATAACTATATTGTAGATTAGGTAAGTGTTCTATATTCACTTAGATGCCAGCAAAATCTGAGCTGTATTTTTGTCCTGAAACTGATTATGTGCTTCTTTTTTTAGCTTTTTGCTCATTAACTATCTATTACAAAATCTCATAGGATATTGAATTTTTGTTTGGTTTTGTTCTGAGTTCCTGTCTTTGTCTTTCTCTATGGATTGCTGTTTCCAGTATAATCCTTTTTCTTTAGAATCTGACAAGAAAGGGTATAAATGACATAACACATATATAGGGATTTGGTTAAAAATAAACATTATTCATATGGAATTCAGTTGTAAACAAGTTTCCAGAATTACGATTTTAGAACTTAACTGTAAAAATTTCTCAGATTCTTCAACCTGGAACAGTTATGAAAAGTTAATTGGCGGGGCTGATTCAATACAGCCTCTGAGGAACTGCACTAAAAAGGAGTTTTATAAAACAGCAGATGTGTAAATACATCCTACAAGAAAAGATCAATATTCTTTTTAATTTAAGATTTTCCAGTAGAGTGAGCAACCATATTTCCTTGTGCACTAGGATAGTGCCAGTCTGTTTTTCCCCAGTATGTGAAAAAGGCAGAATTTTCACAGTCTTTGCAGATAGATCCCAATGATCTAGAGTTTCAAATTCACATGACTCACTGGGCACCCAGGCTATTTACTTTGATCCCAGACTGGGGCATGTAAACCTTTTTTTTTTTTTTCTGTTAGTTGTACCCAAATTTGCCTTTTAGTTTTCTCAATGCACATAACAGATATCCTTATTACATATTTGGTAAGACCATATCACACAAAATGTTTCATCATGTGACTGTTTCCCATCTCTGTTCATCTGTTCTCCTATTATCACAAATCCCCCAGTTGACTGTAAGCCTGTGCTTTTCTATGGATTTCTGTGAATGAGTATTTTTTAATTATCTCCTAAGACAACAGCCTGTCAAGCTAACCTTGTACCTCATCCCTTTTTTAATGAAACCTATACCAGGCCAAGTACTAATAGCTTCAAGGAAGTTTCACAAATCTGTAGAAAGAGAGCCATGTTAATCTTTATTAGATTTACAAAGATGACAGTAATTTTCACAGTCCAAATAAAAAATGATTATATGAGTTTCAAATGACTTTCTATTTCAACGTGACTATTTCATTCTTCTTCCCAGTAGTTTTTAACAAATCACACTAATCTGCAGTTTTATCAGTAATAATTTTACATTAGCATCTTCCCCTCCTCTGCCATATAAGCATTCACTCTTACGCCTCAACCAATATGGCATTTTCTCCATCCCACATATGGCATTAGAAACAGTAAGCCCTTTTTAAAAATACATTATTCAGCCTCAGAATAAATATATATAAATTCATGTACACACTTATATTAATAGCACAAGAAATGAATACAATAGTAAATGTAGGCAATAGTGTGGTCTTCAAGTATAGAAAGGTAACTTTTAGATTCCAACACTATTGGATCAATCTATTGCCCAGATTTGGGATGGAAAAGCAATATAATTTTAGATTCCAGTTCATTAGCAACTTTATGCCCTTTTAGAGTCAGAATAGACTTTGGGTGTCAGTGTCCTAATGAGAAAGCATTTAACAATAAAAACAATAATAGTAATAACATAATGAGATAATAGCCAACATAAACTTAGTACATGGAATGTTCCAAGAATAGTTTTAAGCAATTTAGTTTCATTCTTCTTCAGAAAAAGCTTTTAAGTAGGTACTGTGATTATCCCCATTTTATAGATGAGAAAACAAGCACAGAAAGGGTGGCAAGAAGGAGCAAAACATACCTTGTTTATAAGGCCAATATATAATGTAAAGTAGGGTGTCTTGTTAACAAACGGCTTTTTCTTTTCTTTTTATTCCTTCCATAAAGTGACTAAAGCATAGCCAGTGGGAAGGCATCTTCTACTATTAGTTGCTAGATGCTAAGTTTTGAACCCTTTTCCCTAATTAAAAGAAAATGATGCCTGATTTTCCATTGCTGCTGTCCATGTCAGCCACAGGGCTCTTTTCAGTTACCGTGAAGTGTGTAAAGAAAGCTTGATTTTGAAATTATTGATCATTTCTTAAACATATTGCTCTTTTCCAAAAATATGGCCATGAGTGATAATTTCTCTCCCAACACCACACTGCCTTTTATCAAACTCTGATCCATATTAGGTAGGTAGTAAATCAAGACTACTGTTATGACTAATTTATTACTAAATTATTATAGTTCTCAAAAAATCTTTTGACCTTACCTTATTATTTTATACTCCAAAAAAGACAAATTCCATTCAAATAAGTGGACCACCTTATTTTTATTGCTAGAACATATAAAATGAGAGATGAAAAAGAAACCACCAATTGACAATCTGCAACTCTGATCAGAAATTTCAAACATTTTTTATCTCTCTAGAGTACTAGTATTAACAGGGACAGTGTTGGATTTCAAGATTTCAAAAAAGTGAATATGTACTCTAGGTATTAACACAATATATGGAATCAGAATATATGGGATTTTTATGGGGTTGGGGTTGGAGGAAATCAGGTGGAAAAGGATAGGGAGATGTCTGGTTTGAAGTAGGGAGCAAATAGACTTTTATCTGTAGATGTATAATTGGCATCTTTTTCTCCATTACCATATAGGACAGGGGACAGACTCAATCTTGAGTTTCTACCAATTACACCTTTAAAAATGAATTTTGTTTAATTAAATCATATCCTCTGCATATCCAGATATTTATAAACATGACACTAATTCCAGCAATTGAACAAGAATGCATTCACATTGCTACCTTTCAGGGCAATTTACTAAGGTTTCTTTTAACATGTTTATAACCAGTTGCAAATCTAGGTGTTGCATCATTGCGACGCCTTGATGAAACGTTTATGGACATGTTTTATTATTTGCTGATCTGTGCTGTGAACCCATCAGTCTGTTTGCAGTGGGGAGGAAGTGGGTAGAGGGGTGGGACGGTGGAAGAGGGGCAAGTCATTTTGTTTGATGTGTTGGTGGAGGGAGGAGGTTTGAACTAAGATGTACCTAAAGGGTTTTGTTTTGACCCGTGCACAAAAATCAGCTGCAATAAATAAATGCTGCTCATAGCAGGTTTTCAGTGATCATACTGTTTTTTTTCCTGTGTTTTATATTTTTTCTCAGGGGAAATCTCTCACGTCAAAGAGGTTAACAAGCCTCGTTCAGTCTTACTAAAAGGATCATCTTGTAGCATGGAAGCAGACTGGAGTCTTTGCATATACTTTGTAGCTCTTTGTTGTTACCTGGAGCAGAGGACATTAGACCAAGATGTTGCATGAGCAAAGGACCTGAATTGTTCTCTCTTTGTGTACATTAAGGCACTGCCATTTCAAGTGACTCTACCATCTCAATGCCTCCATTTCAAAATGTTGTCTGCTTACTTTCTCCTTGTACTAAGCTGGATCTGTGTCTTTTCCTTTTTAACAAGTTCAAGTGAAGTAAACCTTTTTTTTTTTCCTCTTTCTCTTTCTCTTGAAGCTTTTGCTAGACACACAGTTCACTGAAAATTCACTCAGTCAAAAACTGGAAGAATTGTAAAAAAAAAACATATATCAATAAGTATACATATGGCTTCACATTTATTAAACAATAAATTAGCACAGAAAGTTTCATTTCACCAATGTGTTCACAGTCAGAAAAAAGCTCATGTCTTTGTTGTCTGTACATTCTCGGTTAATGTTTCTTGCATTTATTTTTATACCATATTTAAATAAGAAACACCTTTTACTCCAAATGTATTAAAGTTGATCCCTTCTCTGTAAATTTGTGTATGTTTATATTGTTGTTTTAACTTTCATTAAAAGATGCAGAATCTCGTTGTTTTTGTAACTTTTGACTTCTGCGTGCTGACAAAGAAAATGCTGAGAAAGCATCCACAAATGTAGACTTGCACTTTTAAGATATCACCCTGCATGTTTATTTAGGGCTTCAAGGCAAGCTTAGATGGCACAGTAGTCAGGAACTGACAGAAAGTGTTTCATCTGGGGCCTAATCCAGGACCAGGGGATGTTTTTTCTTCCACTCAAGAGCAACACAAATTGGCCTTCCACATTTTTAGAGCTATTTCACAGGCCTTTCAGCCTCATTATGAATATGCATCTCTGTGTATTGCTAATGGATATTTCTATGAGAATTAGGTTTGAGTGTGACTTCCGCACTCAGGAACTGGTATTTTTCTTTAAAGTATCATTCTAAAAATGCCTTAAATCAGCGACTTTTTAACACTTTGGTGGTTACTAATTCTTTCGAGAACACAACGGTAATTAGTAATCTTTAGTAAGTGCCTGCCACAGTAGTATGGCCTTTACATGCCCATAAGATCCTCACATTTAACCCTCACAGGAGCACTATAAGATTATTTCTGCAATTTTGAGACTATTAAAGCAGAGGGAGGTTAAGTAACCTGTTCAAAACCACACAGCCATATAGTGAGTTGGTACGCAAATTCAGGTAGTCTTACTCCAGAACCCACTATATCACACAACTTCTTTTGGTAAAATCTAAATGAAAATCCATATATACTATCACATAGGAAGCATTTGCAGTGAATTTTAGGGCATTCACAGAATATCCTCTGAAACTCATCCATGGATCCCAGATAAAAAACTTGACTCCCTTTAAGAGTTGGGTCAGTTACACAAAAGGTCACACAGTGGGGAGAGGGCTTAATTTGTTTACTTTTGCGTCCACATAGGCTTATCAGACTCTGGATATTTAGAAAAGTAGTTATTGTAATTAATTAATTATTAATTACTGTTGGTAAACTTAAATTCTGAAAAAACAAATACCAACATCAGGGAGAAATTAGTTGTGAGTCTGTGAGCTAGTGTACAGAACTGTCACAAAATGGGAGAGAGTTGATAGGAGAAATTATATATGGACAATAATCAGAACACTGTAATTACTTTAAGATTTAAAAAAGATTTAATTATATGCCCCATGACTTTTTAAAAGGAATACATAAAGTGCATGCACATAAATCTAAACATATAGATGTTCTCCCTTGGAAACACTTAATTCAGGACAGTGTTGGACAGATGGCACTGAAGCTAGATTGAAACACTATGTAACAGAAACATGATTTGAAAGAAAGCAATAACCAATTAGAAGAATATGATGAATAGACGATGAACCTTGCACAAATAAGATTGGTTATTTCGGAGGCTATCTCTTACAAATTGTCATTCCTTAGGTGCCCATCCTTACTGAAAATTTTAAATTCCAAATCTATACAGAAATAAAAGATGTAAGAATGGCAAGAGGACAGAAAAGAGAAATATCCAGGCAAGTATCCCCAAGTCAGGAGCTCCTAGTAAACATGCGAGTCAGTTTGAGTTCAGGACATAAAACTTTTAAATAGGCTCATTTAACATAGTTTAGACAAGGCTCAGGATACAAAACAGTGTATTTTAGAAGCATATAGAAAAATGTTGGAGTTCTTGCAGTTAGTTCACTCAAATAAACATATGGCAACTCTCTCCTACCCCACTCTGGGACAAATTGATCTATAAGGCACAGAAGAAAAAGCTCTCAAGTTTCTAATGAATAAAATGGTTTTTAAGAAGTCTTTTTCTACCTTCACACAACTTAAAAATTTACCCACTGAAGAAGTGGCCCAGAGTTTCCACACTCAATTGCAAAACTTTTTAATTCATCCTCTAAATTGCATTGAACCGATTCTTCTCTCTGCAGTGTTTACAACAATGTTTTCTGTGGATTTACAATGGTTTTCCTCCTTGAATAAGAGTAACAGAAATATGGTCAGCAACTCTGCCCCTGTCAGGTACCAGGAAAATAAATGAAGGAAAAAAGGCTCCCTTTTCATCATGACAAGTGTGTGAGTAGATGTTGCTACTCAGGACTTGCACATGCGTCCCCCTCATTCTCCTGGCTGAGTGCTCACTTCTCTTTATAGATGTATGAAGGTTTATGAATAATTTCGTTCTATGTGGAAAGCAAGTCTTGGCTCCTAGCATAAATTTAGTCCTGGTACATGCACTGATTGTCTCCACACATAGGATTTGTGTGTTCTTAATTACATACTTGAAAGAGCACATTGAAATAGCCATTGACTTTACTTTGCCCATGACTGTCTCTTTGCATATTCTAACACCCTCTAAAACATCAACAGGAGGTAACCAAAGGTTCCCCTCCATCTTCTAAGCCATCTTAAGAAGACAGAGATAGTGAAGAATTTGATGAATGTAAAGGATGGAGAGAGATCTAAGTCGTGTATCACCCAAAATTATCCCATATATTTTGTTGTGTACAACCATGTTTTTATATCTTTTTATTCAGAATTTTGTACTCCAAATTAACCTTTAAAAAGATGCCAAATGTGATGGGTATTAAGGAGGGCACGTACTGCATGGAGCACTGGGTGTTATACGAAAACCATGAATTGTGGATCACTACATCAAAAACTAATGATGTATTGTACGGTGACTAACATAACATAATAAAATAAAATTTAAAAAAAGGATGCCAAATGATATACCAAACATAAGACATTATCATTTAAAAATCAGTTTATTCTTTATTTTTTTAAAAAGATTATTTATTTATTTATTTGACAGAGAGAGAGATAGCGAGAGTAGAAACACAAGCAGGGGGAGTGGGAGAAGCAGGCTTCCCGCCAAGCAGGGAGCCCGATGTGGGGCTCGATCCCAGGACCCTGGGACCATGACCTGAGCCACACAGGTGCCCCTAAAAATCAGTTTAAGACAGAAACTGTTGTATATGCTCTTGAATACCTGGAGAAGTTTCTATACAGCTGAAGTGTAATGCATTTGCAACTTCATCTTTACAAAGGTCATTAGTTGCTGGGTAGACATGAGTACTCCTTGATTAATAATCTGATTAATAAATCTTGATGTCCTTATTAATTTATGAGGCCTCAATCACTTCAACTTGTTTGGAAATTAAATAAATTGGAGTGTGTTTGTTATCTTTTTAAAGGTTAATAACATCTAATTCCAGTACTTGTTGGAAGGATTAAGACAATGCATCTAAATTACCAAGTGCAGAATTAGGTACATAATTAGAAGTCAAAAAATAATATTTACCTTAATATCTTCCCTTTCTTTTCCTCCAAAAGGTCATTTTTCTAAAAAAAACTAAGACATGTTCAAACACCACTCTTAGCTTGAGTGGAATCATTTGGTTTGAAGTTCAGAAGGCCAAAGCCAAGTGGTAAATCAGGATACCAGAGACCAGGGCAAAGACCTGGAGAGTAGTCAAGTGTGATGATGGAGTTCAATAAAGCATTGGTACCAAAAGGGTGACCAAAAAGTGAAACTTGGCTAAGTCAAGGAGACTGCATCCTGAACAAGTGAATTCTGGAAACTGCATTTCTGGAAAATAGGAATAGGCCTTGTTAGAGAGCAGCTGTGGCCTCACCTGAATATATGATGGAAACTTCTAGGAACAAAGACAATGTGAGCTAGAGGTGGAGGGGAGGGCAGATGGTAGTGATAAGGTAGCAGGGGTAAAATAATCACTCTTTCTCAATGCAGGATGACCTTTGTCTGGCCCCAAAACATAAGGAGAGGAACTCCTTCCCTATACACCAAATTTCCAGAGGTCTCATGGACCAAACAGGGAAGTGGGTATTAAATATAAGCAAACTGAATGATTTGTCATGGGAGGTGTTAAAGACTCTGCAACCTCTTGATTCCATGACATAAAGCTTCGATGTTTGCCAGGTGAATTCTTTGATAGTCCCAGTCAAGTGAGATTGTAATACACAGCCTACAGAAAGCTTGGTTCACAAGATGGAAAGGGGATCTGGAAGAGTTTCCCGTAGGCCACAGGATTTGAATTGACTCTGTAGGGTGACACAGCAATAAGGTACAAAAATCCATTCCACATACCAGTTCTTATTCTAGTTATATGCCTTGGCACTTTTGGGGATGCAGACATATAATGGAACCAACTATATGATGGTACCTACTGCAACTTGCAGTGCTCAGTCTCCATCCCCTTTCCCTAATTTCTTCCTGCCTTTGGTCTTCCCAAACTTCTTCAAGTGTTCAGGCACAAAAGTCCCTCTTTCTGCCTCTTATTCATAGTACACCTTAATGGCCCTAACGCAAGATTGACTGGAAAGAGTCTCAGCTTCCTGTAGGCTAAGATCTAATATTTATGAAGGTAAACATTCTAAAACCTCTACTCACTCCAAGTGGAAATGATTTTTAAATTTTCAAAATTAACAAACAGCTGCTAATGAAAGTGAGAAAGGGAACCATTTCCTACAAGAAAATAACCAAAGGGAATATTTGGTATTGTCAGAGGCCAAAGTCACTTGGCACTGGAGAGCTAGGCATAGATCCAAGCAGAAAGTACAGGGACAGTGACCAGGACTTCTCACACATTCATAGCTACAGACCCACACTCTGCCATGAACAGAGACTGGGAAAACTTTGCACAATTCCCAAGGTTGCTAGAGAACTAAGCCGTTTTCAATGACCTTAGTGTCCAGTATCTTCCCACATACATGAAGGGTAGTGTCATGTCACCAGCATGTGCAGGGCAGGAAATGTATCATGCATGCAGGAATATTCCCTGAGCATAAAATGTACCCTGGCCTGAAGCTTTGAAACAGACTATTATTTTCCATGAAAGCAAATATAGGAGAAATGTGTGGAATGTGACCTTACAAACTACACTCATAAAAATGCTTAAAAGGATAAGCATTGTGAATGACACAGCAAACGGAAGAATTTACACCAAAGGAAATAGACAAGATCAATCTGAAGAGTGCCTCAAGAAGTCTTTTTAAATGTTTAAAATGATAAAGTATGTAAACATGAGAAAA